TTTTAACCCTAAATATTTGTGGTGGATTTATTTTAACACGAAATTATTCGTGACGCACTTTTTTCAACGCAAAATCTTTGCGGCGGACTTTTTCGAACACGAAATATTTGCGGCGGACTTTTTTAAATCTGAAAATGGTGGTGGGTTGGTTTTTTTTTTTAATACGAAGTATTTGTGGTAGAATTTTTTAACGTGAAATATTTGTGGTAGAATTTTGTTTTAACGTGAAATATTTGTGGCGGAGTGCTTTTAAGATGAAATATTTGTGGAAGGCTTTTTTTAACCTGAAAATTGTGGTGGGTTTTTTTTTTTAATATGAAGTATTTGTGGTAGAATTTTTTAACATTAAATATTTGTGGTAGAATTGTTGTTTAATGTGAAATATTGTGGCGGGGTTCTTTAAATTGAAATATTTTGGCGGAGGTCTTTTAAGATGAAATATTTGTGGAAGGCTTTTTTTAACCTGAAAATTGTGGTGGGTTTTTTTTTTTAATACGAAGTATTTGTGGTAGAATTTTTTAACGTGAAATATTCGTGGCAGAGTTCTTTTAATATGAAATACTAATGGAAGGCTTTTTAACACAAAATATTTGTGGAAGGCTTTTCTTTAAACCTGAAATACTGGTGGTGGACTTTTTTTAAATACAAAATATTTGTGGCAGATATTTTTTTTAACATGAAATATTTGTGGCAGATTTTTTTTTAACACGAAATATTTGTGGCAGATTTTTTTAACACGAAAGATTTGTGGCAGATTTCTTTTTTCACACGAAATATTTGTGGCAGATTTTTTTTAAACACGAAATATTTGTGGCAGATTTTTTTGAACACGAAAGATTTGTGGCAGATTTTTTTAACACGAAAGATTTGTGGCAGATTTTTTTTTCACACGAAATATTTGTGGCAGACTTTTTGAACATGAAATTTTGCTGCAGACCTTTTTACAACGGAAAATATTTGTGGCCGATGTTTTTTAACGCGAAATATTTGTGGCACCCATTTTTTTGAATACCGCTCGAGCATTGGGCCGGTCTCCAATTCCTGTTCAAATCCCAGATCTACCTTGGCAAATCTGATGTTTTATGCCACTTATTATGAAGGCAACTATCCCATTTTTGTGCTGAAAAACAAGCCCAACCACCCTGAATATCTGAGCCATCAACTCATGCGAGGGGAAACAACATCACACTGAGCTCACTCATCCTTACACACGCACACGGGCTTTTCGCCACATCACCACAACTGATTCCTTCTCTTTCCCCCCCCCCCGTCCCTTTCCACCATCTTGGGCACGTGTATTGGTGTCACCTTCTGCGCGGAAAGACGTTTTCCCTTTCCGATAGGGAGGTCAGCCAATTAATTGACTCATTAACTTATCGCATTTAAATAAATCTCCATATTAGAACGGGCTGGATTCACGGCCTTGTCAAAAGAAAATAATGAGAGAACTTGCAACGGAATAATTAAAACCTAGGTGGGCAGGACAGGAAGTTCGTACGGGGAGTCTTATCATTGTTTGGGAAAAATCTTACTTCCAACTTCTAGAGAGCTTTCAAGGATTCACCCCAAGCACATGTTGATAGATCTACTGAAGTCCTACTTCTCCAGCAAAGTACAGGATCCCCCCCCAAACAGGTCCATCTTCCAACAGGTCCATCCCACACCCCAAAACACATAACAGCTGCCACCTGACTATTGCCATATTGTCAGAGAGCACAACCCAACTGGAAGATCTTCCGAACGTGTCTTCTCCAGCGTGGCATCAGAAAGATCAGAAAGAAGAAGAAATCTACAAGGTCCATCTTCCAGCTGGTCCAGCACACACCCCAAAACACATAACAGGTGCCACCTAACTATTGCCACATTGTCAGAGAGCCCAACCCAACTGGAAGATCTTCAGAACGTGCTTTCCCCAGCGTGGCATCTTGGAGAGAGAAGGAAGGAGACAAAATCTACACGGTCCATCTTCCAACAGGTCCATCCACACCCCAAAACACATAACAGCTGCCACCTAACTATTGCCATATTGTCAGAGAGCACAACCCAACTGGAAGCTCTTCAGAACGTGCCTTCCCCAGCGTGGCATCTTGGAGAGATCAGAAAGGAGAAGAAATCTACAAGGTCCATCTTCCAGCGGGTCCAGCACACACCCCAAAAACACATAACAGGTGCCACCTAACTATTGCCACATTGTCGGAGAGCCCAACTCAACTCGCAGGTCTTCAGAATGTGTCTTCCCCAACGTGGCATCTTGGAGGAGGAGGAGGAGGAGGAGAAGATGAATCAACCAGGTACTTCCATCCCTGAGGTTCAACTTTTCCGAGCCAACGTGGGCAGAACAGAGTCTGGATTCTCCTTCCACCTGTTGTAGCAACCAAGGACGGTTGAGTTGGACCTCCAGAGAAGGTGTACAGCTCTTCCACTTGGCCACCCCAATTTGTTCAACTTCTGAAACAACTTCTCCTTCCCTTCCTCTAGAGTCCCCTTCAAGGGAAAGGAGAAGAACAAGCACACCTCTCTCTTCCAACGGAACCGAAGGGTTGACATTTTACGGATCCCACCGAGGAAGACCAACGTGGGGACAATACCCAACGCAAGAGGGAGAGCCTTGTGCATCCCATTATCAAGTGGGGATACCTCCGAAGGGATCCCCAATCCTAGAAGAGACCCTCCTTCAGGTCTCTTCTGTCCAGTTTCCCCCTTCGGCTTCTGTCGGGCTTCCCCTGGGCCCTCAACCCATTGTTCTCCTCTGGTTTTCAAGACGGGGCAGGGTCTCCTCCCTCCCCCACACCCCAAAACCTGGAACAGGGGACATTTTCCCCTTTGGAGGAGAGGGTTAAAAGGAGGGAAATAGAATCAAAACATCAGAAGTCAGGCGGGAGGAAAATACACAGCGTGATTTAGGCAAATAGGGCTCATTAGTTCTAATATATATATTCCTGTTGCTAGGAAGCGTTGCCTTGCATAGCGACAGCCTGCAAATTGTAGCACTTACGAATCACAGTGTTTTTCTCTCTCTCTCTCTCCTTCTCCCCTCTAATGGGCAAGAGAGTGGTTTTTCTGGCAGCCCCTCTCAAAGCTCGCCTCTTCCCCTCGACCCCCAATTCTTCTCCCTCGTTTCCACCCACCCCCCCGCATCCCTCCACGGGGGACCCTTCCCCGAGAAAAAAAAAATGACATCACCCCAAATTAACTCAGTTCTGGGCCTCTCCCCTCCTGCCTCTCTCAAAAGTGTGCAAGGGAAGACTTGAGTTTCAGAAGTTGTTGGGGGGGATTGGAGCCACAATTGTTAACAGATGAGGAGCAGGCCGGACTCCCGGGGGAGCGTGTAAGTGTGTGTGTGTGAGAGAGAGAGAGCTGGGGGGAAAGACAAAAGTGTCCAGGATTATCCAGAGTTGGAAAGTGACTGGCAGGCGTGAAAACTGGTCTGAAAAATCAGGAAGGAGAAGAAAAATAAGTTCTGTTTTGGTTCCCCCACAACTCCCCATCTTTGAACAAGGCATGGGCTTCGTCCCTCCCCCTCCCCTGCACAAAGACACACAATCACACACACACACACTCCTTTCCAAGGCAAGAAGTTACACTTAATCCGGTTCCAAGCCACTTTTCAAAGGCTTTTGCAGAGATCAAGTCCTGCTTTGAAGGGAGGGAAGGAGAGAACGAGAGCGAGCGAGCAAACCAGATTGTGTCGGATTTCACAATTTTTAATTCGTGCAAGAATGCAAGGAGAGGTGGAGAAACACACACACACTTACACATACACGTAAAACCGCTCCCCCCCCCATCGCAGCGGCCACACGCCCCGTAGGTAAATGCAAAAATTACAATCCAGACAGACCCACCCCATCGCAAAAGTGGGAAGCACCAGCAAGATGCACAGCCAGGGACACAGAGAGAAAGAGAGACACACAGACACACAATCCCCTACCTTGAGATGCCCTCTGTGTGTGTATTTGTGTTTGTGTGTGTGTGTCTCTCACTTTATCTCCCTCTCCCCCCCCTCCCCTCTCTCTTTGAATAGCCATAAATGCCCACCCAGATACATTGCGGTTAAAAGTAGACTATACATCCAGTAAAGTTAATTAATCCAACAGCTTCATTGCAAGGTTCACAGACCTCGGTTTTATTTTAATTTCCTTTTTTTTTTTTTTGTCTTCTGCGATTGCCAAAACTGGGGTGGGGGCGGGAAACAAGACAAAGGAAACCCCAAACAAGAAGTGCTGACATTCCAGACTAAACTTGCAAGAAAACCAGTTTAGGATGACGAGTTCTCTCGCCAGCCAACTTTGAGATACGGTCCAAGAAGTAGTAATCTTTCGCGGGCATAATCTAGGAAACTTGACCAAGCAAGCTGAATCTGGTGCCCAAAGGGGGTGGTATGTGGTGGAAATCACATATCTTTTTTGTGGGGTGGGGGAGAGGAGGGAAGACAGAGGGAGAAAATTGTTTCTCTGTCTGTCTTGTGTCTGTAGACACCCCCTTCCCCGCAGGTCTTAGCCAAGGCGATGCCAATATATTTTTTTTCACCCCGGTTTTTTTTTTTGCTCCCAAAGTAGAAGTGGGGGTGAAAAAAATGGAGATTGGCAAAAGTTTGGGGAAGGGAAAATAAGTGAAGTTCAGGATTTCACGCGTGGCCAGAAACTTCTCCTTTCTTCATCCTCTTCGACTTTGCCCCAAATCAAACCAGGGTGTCTACTTTCCCCACCACCACCACAGAAACCCCTGGGCATCTCCAAATGCTGATATTTTCCCGGCCTCCCGCTTTCCTCTTTGCTCAAAGCATCTGCTTCCAAATACCATTAAAACACAAAGCAAAAAAGCCACTCAACCTCGCCAGATTTTGTTACCAAAAAAAAAAAAAAAAGCCATTTTAAAAATTATGATGATGATGATTTTTTTTCCCCAACCCAACCCAAGGTGCAAATCTTCCCAGCACCTGAAGCTGCTTCCCCAGACAATACCTGGATTTTCCCAGGCCCGAGAAAAATGAAAAGGCTTACTTTTTGTTCGAAGTGTTCCAATAAATAGGTTCCAGGCTGAGTCCGTCTACAAACAAGAGTTCCCAAAAACAGAGATTCAAAGCCATATAAAATCCAACTCCAGAGTTTTCAAAGGCCATCACTGCAAAAAAAATGAGAGTCAGGGGCGGCCAGGGGGAGGCCGGCACCAACTCCCCTCCGGTTTCTCCTTCCCTTTCTTTCTTTCTTTTTTTTTTTCTTCCCTTTCTTTCTTCTTTTTGCCTTTGTTTTTCTTTTTTGGACAATCTCACCCCCGCCGGTTTTCAAGAGGCAATTCCGAATCCCCTCCTTGACGAGGCAGGGTGGGAAAAATAAGCAGAGAGACACAGAGAGAGAGAGAGGGGCGCATACCAAATATATCTATTCGAGGGAGAAAGAGAGGCAGAAAAAAAAGAGAGAGAGAAAGAAAAAGAGAGAGGGAGAGAGAGAGAGAAGAGTTTTGGGGTTGCTTTCTTTCTTTCTTTTTTTCTTTAAGGAAAGAATCTACTAGATCTCGCAACAAAGTTTTCTAAATCCTCTCTTTTGCACCAGGGTCTGGGCTGATGCGAAAAGTTTCCACCACTTCCAAAGACTTGCCCAAAGGAAGGGCATTTTTCCCCCCTCTCTCTTCCTGCTGGAAAGAAAAAGAAAGAAAGAAAGAAAGAAAGAAAGAAAGAAAGAAAGAAAGAAAGAAAGAAAGAAAGAAAGAAAGAAAGGAAGGAAGAGGAAGAAAGGAAGGAAGGAAGGAAGGAAGGTAGGAAGGAAGGAAGGGGAAAGGATGGTAAGAGAGGAAGGAAAGAAAGGATGGTAAAAGGAAGGAAGGGAGAAAGGAAGGAAGGAAAGAAAGAGAAAGAAAAAGAAAGAAAGAAAGAAAGGTGAACCAAGAATCAAATCCAGAAAAGCAGAAATTTCATCCAGTCAGCTCCTTCAGCCTCTCTGCTTCCAGATCCTCAGGGAGGTGTGGAAAAGTGTGTAAGACAGAAGAAAAAGGGGGAGAGAGAGAAGGAGGAGGAATTCATTTGCAAGGCCCCCCCCTCCTCTATTTTTCCATCCCTCCGCAGCGCTGATTTGGGGGCTCGGCGACCTCCTCCTCCTGGTTTTTTTTTCCCTTTCCTTCCTTCCCCAGCAACGAAGAAAACTCCAACGATGGATGATGCAGAGAGAAAGAGAGAAAGAGACAGACACACACAGACAGAGAGAGACAGAGAGAGACAGAGAGAGAGAAAATAAAATAAAATATGAGAATCAGAAAATCAGGGAGGATTTTTTTCCCCTTCGCCCCTCTCTCCCTTCTTGTTCTTTCTTTCTCTTTCTCTCTCTCTCTCTCTCTTTTTTGGGGGGGAGGAAAGAGGCAGAGAGAAAGGGAGGAGTGAAGAATTGGCGAGCGCGAAAAAGCGGAATGAAGGAGACAGTTTTCCCCCAACACAGAGGACCGGAGTCTGAAGATGAAAGAAGATACGGAACGCGGATGCTTTTCCTCTCTCTCTCACTCTCTTTTTGGAGGAGAGGAGGAGGAGGAGGGGGAGGAGGGGGGGAAAAAGGGAGGAAAGAGAGAGAGAGAGAAAAAAAAAAGAAAAAAAAAGAGAGAGAAAGAACTTCAGCCCAAATGGAAGGAAAGAAGGAAGGAAGGAAGGGAACAGCCCCGAAGGAGGAGAAAAAAATAAAACAAAAAAACGAGACAGCAGCTCCCTTTGCAAGAATGTACAAATCCGGGAGATGGAAGGAGAGGCGTCGCCTTTGCAAGACAATTGCAATTTTTCAAAGCAAAAAGGACATTTGAAAGCATACACACAAATAATAATAACAATAACAATAATAATAATAATTGGGAGGGGTTGTTTGGTGCCTTCTCTCTCTCTCTTTCTTTCTCTCTCTCTCTCTTTCTTTCTCTCTCTTTCTCTCTCTCTCTCTCTCTTTCTTCCCCCCACCCCACCCCAAATCCCTTTCTTTCTTTCTTTCTTTCTTTCTTTTTTTCTTTCTTTTTGTCTTCCCCCTCCAGGTGAATGAAAAGGGTAGGAGATTAATGGCAGAGCTGCCTTTTAAAGGCGTCAGCATATTTTAAATATAGCCGGAATTTGTCAGGGAAAAAAGGAGAAAGAGAGAGGGGGGGAAAAAAAGGGTGGAGGGGAAGGACAGGTGGGAGGGGGGGCAGGAGGAGGAGGAGGAGGAGGGAAACGGGGTGGGGTGGGGGACACGCAGGAGGAAAGGGGGGTGCCTGTGCCCCCTCCCTCCCTCCCTCTCTCTCCCCCACCCCTCCTTGCACAAATTAAGGCATTGTGTCTGGATGTTCCCAAGCTCGCCAGATGTGGTTTGGAAGATTTTGGAAAGAGGGGGGCAAAAATAATTCACTTTTGCGGAGATGTTCCTTCAACTTTTTTTCGGGGGTCTCCCAGGCAGAAGCTGCACCTGTTGAATTTCCAGATACATACACATATATATCCCTTTTAGGAATATATCCACAATTACACGGGAAGAAACCCGAAATATTAACTATACACATATA